AAATCTAGTGAAAAAAGATAATCAAATTGGAAAATCATTCAAAATCGTCTTATACAAAACAACTTTTGCAAAACTTATGACAGCTAGCCTGACCATACTACTGGAACGAATTACACGCGGTTGGTACCAAATGAAAGATATTTTCCTGTAGATGTGATGAATCCCTTTATAAATTAAAATAGGCTCAAAAATAAACACAAGAAACGAATTTAAAATTTTAAAAATAACTTGGGCCGTATGGGTTGCCATGTAGGTAACGAAATAACAACTAAATGTAAACAGAAAATAAAACCAAATAGAAGAAATTCCATTTACATGTCTTATTTATAGCATAGGGTAAATATAGATAAGTTGGAAAAATACATACTTTTGGTCAAGTTTCCGACCACAAGGCGAGCTCTCATCTTGCACTAAATTTATTGGACAATCACAACACCATTTACGACATTTAAACCTCCCATTCAGATTCGGCTGTGTTATCAAAATTATCTTTGTCAGCTAGTGTTGAGAGTGGTAAATCACTATACTTTTAACGTTGTATTATTGTTAATGTATTTGCTTATTTTTCTACTTTTGAAACAGACTGTAAATTAAATAAAGTTGAAACCCGATTAAGCTACAACCCATTTAATAGTATATTTCGTACCTAGGGCCAAAAATAAGGTTTTGCCGGCTCGAGATAGTTCGACTTCGTCTCGATCGAGAGCTGCAAAACCATTTCGGTCCGTGGTACGAACGCTATTTTGCACCACACTATACCCTATTGCCACTATTCACCTCTATAATAATGCACACTGATGGTTAGCACAACTAAAACTTTAAGGTTATGTGAAGAAATAATTCGAGGCATCAGCAAAAATAAAAATAAATTGTTGCTAGGCAACGGTGACAATAAAATAATTCTATGGATACTGATTGTGTATTTAATATGCATTCATGTTTTAAGTAAGTAAGCGGGCAGCTAATTTTGCGGCCCTAGGGACCAGCGACCACAGAATTAAAATTAAAATTTTAATTCTGTGGTCGCTGCTAGGGACCTGCTCGGTCCCCGAATAACGATGACAGCTAAAAACCTAATAATTCTATAGAATAACAAGCTGTACCCGCTGGCTTTGCCCCGTTAAACTAATTAATTTTCAAGATTAGCTCGTTCGCATGGCTCAATCAAGTCCTGGTTGAAGTTCGTTCGCTACGCTCTCTCACCTTTAGGTTGGAGCTCGTTCGCTGAGCTCACTTGCCTTGGGGTTAACTCGCCTCCAGGTTGAAGTTCGTTCGAAACGCTCACTCAGCTTTTGGTTGCAAATTAGCTGTTGTCATAAATTGTTAAATTGACACAGCTGTTATGATTCATTAATTCCTTTTAAATATGAAAAATCATAAGGTTAAGATGGGAAACTCCAGAGCCACTGGGGCGGAGCCCGAATGCCCGATCATAATAAAAACTACTTAGTTTTCCTATTTAATGCCCAAAGAATCGGTGTATCGAATTTCAGCCTCCTAGGTAAATGGGAAGTGGGAGAATTAGTGATGATGAGTGAGTGAGAGTGAGTGTGTCAGTGAGGGCTTTGCCTTTTATAAGTATACATAGCACATTCAACCAGCTGTTAGTTAAAACAAATTATATTGGACTAAAACAAATCGATGATTACAAAGAATACTTTAAAAAATAATTTGAACATCCTACTACTGTATTTTACTATGCACATTTAATTAAACTGCCATCCTCGTACCGAAGAATTAAATGTATCAATGGTCAGCATTACACATACATAGTATAAATAAGTCAACCATAAGTATGTATTTGAATTTTCTTCCAAATGCTGAATTTGTGTCACAAATACTGAATGTTACAGCTGTTATGTTAAGCAAATTATAATGTACTAAAAGCTAGCTAGAAGCATTGACTTATTGGAGAAGGTTAGCATCGGCTGCTAGACTTTTTAAAAACTAAAACTTAATTTATAAAAAACTGGGACATTAATTTTAAATTATGGCTTTGAAATTATCTAGTTCTCAAAATGGTCTTTCTTTCAACACAAAACTAATGAAAATCCATCGACTGGTTGATTCAGAATCGTGAAAAAACCCCATTTACGTTATAATAATATATATGATAGTTTGGACAGGTTTCAACCCTTCCGTGGCGTAATACATTACACAGTTTATATGTAGACTACATTATAACTCATAAAATAGTTCTACAATTAAATGGATCTCCTTTTACAAACGTATATAATAACCAGAAATGTTCAGATCGTCCTTGCGTGTATTTTATGCCACAAATTTTGACGAAAGGCTTTTCATTACATAAACTATACCTATTTACAGTGTTGACCAAACAGTTGGCAAGAAGCATTAATAAATAAGCTATGTACCAAATATGATAATTTTAGCTCTATTCTAATTATGACAAAACACGAAGTAACTAAAAGTGAGTTTTGTTGGTGTAGTAAGCGTTGCAGGAGGTCTACTTTACACTGAATCGACGTTCACTTTTATTGCTTTTGATCTTCCGACACTTTTGACTCAGCGAAACTGAACTTGTATTTTACCGTATTTCGTTATATTAATCCTGCTGTTGCATTAGGTCAAATTCCCAATAAGTCAATTGCTTTAACATAGACTAAACTTTTAGCCCGGACTGTACTATTTGACTTTCTGGGATTTTTGATCTACAGACACTGCAAACATTGTAGTTTTTGACCTAGCGGCACAGGTATAAATTATTTGATCTTCCGGGACTGTTGACTTTCAGCAACATTCCCGCCGTGGCACTACAGCCGTTAAAACACACCTTCGTGTCAATAAGGTATTCCGCTTCTACAAGTTATGTGAAATGAACGGTAAGTAAGATTGTGTGCCTGTTGTTCGAAATATGCTAGTTTTTGGACTTTTATACGTTCTGGACCTTTTTTTCTGAAAGAAACTTAAATTACCTTTTTTAATATAGATTATTCCAACGTTTGTAAACTATTTTTTCTTAAGTTGATACCAAAGGCATTTTTGCAGGAGAGGCAATGTCCAGTGTACTTATATAACGTTTTTAGGGAAAGCGGTCCATACCCATACCGGTATGTGTTTTGTATGTGCCGGGAATCGTCGAACCCGCCCCTCCCGTACCGAGGTTCAATGGTCTAGATAGGCTATGGGACAATTTTGTGATCGGTGCCTTAGTCACGTGTATACAGACCACTGTGGTAGTTCATAGGAAAAAATGTTGAAATCAAATTCAACAAAGTAAAAAATATAATACAACAGATTTATTCAGCTGATTTCATAATGTCTTTGATTAGTCTTTATCATGTCAATACAATTTTGGTGGTTGTAATTTTATCATAACGCAAATTGACTTTACATAAAGCATATTCATGTATTCTAAATTAGTACGGGACCTATCACGTAGCAAAGTTGACGTAACTACAAACATAAAGCAGAACAATATAAAACTACTTGCAAACCACTGAAACGTCTTAATTTATTGAAAATAGGTAGACAGGCCGAGAACATTAAATTTCATTAAATTCTCAATAGAAAAGCTGTATGGTTACAAATCGTAATAGAGACATGGTGGTAAGAATTGGCTTAATTATTGACTCACTTAATACACAGCAATCATTTCTATAAAATATTTCTTTTAATCATTATTCAAGAGTATGCAAATTACCAATTTCCTGAGTACAGAATACCAAGATTTCAGAAGAAACTAAAAATATATAACAAGACATAGATATATTTTAGAATTCTTTTAATTTAAAGCATTATCCTGCAGGTTGCAATTTATTTACGAACTACTACAGTAGGACCTGACCTAATGGAGACTTTAACGGTGCGTGAAACTGAAGTATTCCCATCGTTTGGAAACGTTTCTAAATTTTTTTTATCGTCAGTAGTTATTAAAACTACTTATTGTACGTTTATTTGTTGGAAACAATAAATTAGGTAACTATTAATCTGATTTGTTTTTGTTTGTTGTTCCAGGCAGTTTATGGATCCACCTCAAACTACTGTGGTCTTAAACTATTAATTTTAATTTTATATTTTTTCTGTCAGGGTAATGTTTACGAAACGTTAATGTAATTCAACACATCGCCATGATCCAGGTAGAGATTTACTGTAAATATACTGGACTGATTCAGAAACGTTTCGTTTTCGTTGCTACCCTTGACTAAACAGACCTACGAAATGTAATGTCACTCTAAGTAAATTGTATACGTTCGAAAATTTTGTAATGTATCCTAAGCCCCTACATTTTGGGCATGTACAAAGTACTAAACCCATACCGGTATGTGTTTTGTAGGTGCCAGGAGTTCAAATTAGTAGTGTAAAAGTTCAATATCATAACTTGAAAAAAATAATATTTACTGCAAAAAATACGTTTGTATAATTTTATTGAAATTTGTAATGGATGCCATTTCTTTTTATATCATGACTGAAACCATTAGGTTTAGTTGTAGGCTAATCCTTAGCTTTTTTCATAGACCTAAGAGACATTTGCTAATCAGTGACATTTTTTTTACCTTTGAGATTTTGAAGCCACTTCAGAAATAACCCGTTCAGGGCTGTGGATAAAAATTCAATGTTAAAATGTGTATTAATGTTTACAGTCGCGGAACATTTCCTTTTGAAATATAGGAATTATTAGTAAACCTAGGCCTAGTGTTACAATGTTGTGTAGCCTACCGTGTTTTCGTCCGTGTTAGGCCTATTTGTTTATTCGTGAGGAAATCGAATGTCAACACGCAAGATATATTACTGGTACTGAATGAGGATACGATTAAGATTCGATTAGACTGTTAGAAGACGAAACCCAAATAACTCACAAGAAAGAATAAGACCTGTGATGGAGAGCATGTATGTACAACAATACATCAACAGCTCTAATGACATTTCACAATGCGTATCTCGATCTTTTATCATCAAAATCTATAGCGGTCTCAATAATCTTCTTAGCAGTTGGTACACTTTAACTTATATTGTATAAATATATTTTTGCAACTCACTCCGCCACCACAGAGACCACCTCTCTTTCAAGGGACACCACCGTCGCCTTAGGCGGGGGTCTCCTTCCATACAGTTGTCTGTAGAACTTCTCCTGATCACCATATATCCAGCACACCCTCCACCACTGACGACACATCAGCACATTCGCACTATTAGCTTCACTTTTCTCCTTCATGTTGCACTGAATTGAACTTCACTTGGTAGAAGATTATATTTGGTAAATCCAAATCATATTTTGAAACACTTACACTCTCGCGAGTCGTCGCTGAAGTTGTCGCGCCTTCGAGTGCACATGCGGACCGCACGGAAACTACTGAGCTCTGACTTCCACCTTCCACTACCTCTGACGCCGACGGAAGGCTACCAGGGCTCCGCCCCCGGCCCGGTGGAATTTCTCACAAAAACAACCGCTTTCCCCGCGGCCCTGTGAGGAGCGGTGCAAAAACCTTTTGTCTGCCCCTTGTAAATCAGGCGCGGACGGTATAGTAAATACGGATTTTTATTGAGCTGTTAAGTTTTGAGTTTTGGCGACTGTTGCCGCAAGGTTATATGGTTCAGTTTTGAGCATGTAACATACATATTCGATTTTAATTTCCATTCGTGAGTTGCTATTGTATACTTTATAGGAGTGGACAGAATACTCAGGATGTAGAGCTTAAAATCGAAATAGAACGGCTATAGTATAGCTATAGGGCGAATTGCACTAGGGACTGTACTGTAAGAGAAACATGGAGAGTAACTACTAATTACGAAACGTCCAGTAAAAATCAACACCATGGGAGTAAAATCAATCTCTGATTAGATAACCAAGTGAACGATTCACTTGAAGAGGTAAAATGAGTAAATAACTAATCAAGTCAAAAACTAAGCAAGGCTAAAACCCAGCTACAACTAAAAGCCTCGAGAGTAAGGAGTCAAAATATATATCTTAACAAGAGGATTCTAGTTTTGAGCATCCGATCTTTTGTAGTAAAAATAAGCGACTAAATTAACGCATCTAAATACTTAACAACTGCCTAAATAGGAGACTGAGGAATATATACACTGCAGAATTTACAGCGAGTGATGTGAAGCGTCTGACAGCTAGGTAAATTACAGCTTGGCATCAGTCGGAGAAGACATATCACACCGAAGCCCAATGTTGCTGCCTACAGAACAAACCTACTGTCAATGGATCGAATTACGACTTCCTTCTTTTGTGTAACTACAAGCAGTTGGTATTTAAAATAGCGAAAAATGTGTTTACTTGGTTTTGTCCTTGAACTGATTTTCTTCATATATACAGTGGGTGGATAATATAGAAACTAGAATTGAATGCTCAACACAAATTCGTCAATTTTAATTGCTTAGTGTAAAAAATATGAGCTAATGAAAACCTTTAACTGTATCTATATAGTTGTATATTTTTATTTATAGGTCTCGCTCTCACATTTCACCCCAATACAACAGAACATATTGAAAATATGGCTTTTGAACAAAGTAAGAGTTGTTTCGAAGTGGCATTGAGAAAGAAAAACATTGTTACTTATGTCTGCAAAACGTTTACATCTTTTCAAAAGTTTTACGTTTAACTTCTTGATTTATTAAAAGTGTTTCTCCTTCTACGCGTCTGTTGGTTGTGTTGAATATTGAACCGGAATAATAAGCTAAGGTAAAGCTAATCATAAAAAATACAACTGTAGTAAACCTTCCTAATATTTATAGTAATAAGGTTATTGACATCAACAACGATATCAACAAGGGATAATCAACATTATCCCTCTTACACGTTGTAAGATCAAACCCCAATCTTCCAAACAAGGTCCACAAGCGTTTCAAACACCACATAAAAATATTAAAGACCATCATCGCGCCACGGTTCCCAGACTTTTAATGTCGAGCATAACCACAAACTGCGGTGTCGTTGACAGAGTAAATGTATTGTTGAATGTTGGTTAAACATAGGAAAGTACAACGCCGCCGTAGCAACAGGTGTTTGTGCAATACAGCGTTTATAAGGTGTTACAAAAATAATGGTTACCTCGGTTCTCCCACGGAGAAGGGTGACTGATAATGCAATAGCTGACTGACAGTTGGGCGTTGCGGTTTGTTAACGATTGGAAATTCGGGGCTTTAGTTTGTAGCCTGGGGAGGTCGTATGTGCTCGGGTTTGTAGATGTGGATTATTATCGCCAGATATGAGACGAAACCAATTTCGTAACAGAGGGGATTTTTATTATTACATCATAAACGTAGAATTTGAAAGGACTTTAAGATGGCAAGGGAGCCTAGAGATAAAATGGTCACCTCAAACCTGAGAAAAGTCAATAGTTTTTAGGTGTTCAAAACTTACATCAGCTGGGATGGACTGAGAAACATTCTAACTTCAGTAACAAAGCTTAAGATCATCTCAATCAGTCAGTATAGGACTTACCCAGCGTTAGTATTCAGGCCTACGTTCAATTGATTTTGTACGCACACGAAGTGAGTATTAGTTTTCATAATGCGATTGAGAGCGATGTTATTTGTATGAGTATAGTCTAAATGAATTCGAAAGTTACGAATAGTTTTGTGACGCAATTAAAATTATTTGTCCTTTTTTTTGTAGACCTGTATTGTAATCACAATGCCATTCAAAAACATACCACTAACAATACATAATTAGCATTGTTAAAACAGTTTTCATGATTAAATAATCGACTTGGGTTAAATTTGAATACTATTTCAATGATTAAAGTAAAGGTAACAGTTTGATTTTTAAAGAACAGTGTATTAACCTACAAATAAGGTTCGAGTAACGGAGTTTCCTGGTTATAGATAAATTATGTCTGAGACAAGGAAACACAAATATATGTAGAACACTAGAGAAGAAAACAAACGCTTTGATGTGAAACAACCTGTCCAGTAGGTGGGACAAGGTTGTCGCGATGGCGGGGAATTAGTTTATCAACTTGACAGACGCAGATGTGCTTGGACCAGATTGTACGTGGTTCTTGTCATGTTTTACGTGGTCATGTCTAAGACCAGTTATACACAAAGAATGAAACATCAGTTTGAGCTAAATATGAGATCTTCCTACAAACACATACGTTAGGGAGAAATGTACTTTTTATGTCCCACCTTCACATCCTAGGACGTAAGGTTCTATTCTGGAAACATGTTTATCAATTACTTAGCTTTGTTTAACCTCAGCATTATAAAATTCATTGGTGATTGGCGGGATTTGAACCCGACACCTCGAAGACCAACGCCTCACACTTATCTATTAGACCAGCTACGTGGTTGCATAGACAAGGGTTGTACGCAGATAAATGTTGTACGTAGACAAATGTACGCATACAAATGTTGTACGCAGACAATAATGTTGTACGCATGCGTTGTCACCGCGCAGTCGTGCCGTGCGAGCGTTGACGCAGTTTATCACAGGCTTTGTTCAAGTTTATTGTGTTGTCGAACCGAGTCATAAACTGGCGGGTGTTTCCCTCTTCTTCCCGCCACTTTCTCCGCCTACTCGTACATGTGTCAAAAACTCATGATAGATAACCTCTGTTGACCTTGAGATCTTGCCGTCGAGGTTACAGCATAGTCCTCATGCTAGTGCATGTTTACTGCATTGTCCTTAGTAATTCTACTAGATTATACCACGGTTGGAGCATGACGTAAATAAATACTTCATAAAAATACAAATTGACCAAATTTTAAGTAGTGAAAATCAACATGATTTAAGGTAACCTCAATTTTTAAAATAATTCAATGAAAAGTACAAAGTATAGGAAAAAGTTGTTACTCGTGGATAATGAAGTCTAATCGGCACAATTCATTTGGCATTTGACTAGCTAGCAGTGACCATAATTTATTCTAACAAATTACGTTTTCCTTCTGAAAAGTGACGATTTGCCAGTTCGTCAAAATCTCGGAGATATCGTTTATTTCATCCATTAGTAGTATTTAAAAATACAATTTACACCATAATGTTGAACGGTTGTCTGAGTTAGATGAGTCTTACACTTTTGTTTTATATACCTTAAACAGTAATAAAATCAATCCAAGAGCGTGTAGAATGTGACTGCACATAAATTCTATAAATTCCAATGCATAGAAGCAGAAATCACTAGTATGTTTGACACACGATCCCTGACTATTAAAAGTGTCATCTGAGCCAAACGCAAATAAAATTAAACTGTTTACAGTTAAGATTCCCAGCTAACTGCGTGGTAACTCTGCCGGTTCAAGAATGCGAAATGTTAATGTACACATTCTATTGGCCAGATCTGATAAGATGCTGAGATACTATAAATATGTGTAGCGGATTGAAATTACTATTTATCGACTACGGCTAACTTAAACCAACGTTATATATAGAAATATCTACTGAAATTTTACTGCCATAACATTAACCATTGAGTTGAATACCTGAAACCATTTAAAGGGAGGTTTATGAAAGTTTTGATTTAAGGCCGCGAATTTTCAAAATGAGTTTTAAGTAAAGATTTTTAATTATATTGTAAATAGATTATTCGAATACACTACTAATACTCTAATACATTCAGTAAGTACTTTTGGATTACATTTTTGACGAGCAAGGAAGAATAAAGATAAATTTATGTAAAAACAAAATAGTTATGAAATCACCATGGCTTGAAATAAACGTTTACTTGTGATTTAACACTTGGTCTAGCTAACATTGTTTACTTCTCTTCATACATACGGTATCGGCAAATGCAGAATTTCTTTTACCTGAAACATGACAAAAATAATTTTAATTATAATTCTTTTATGATTATATAATCAATAAATTGAAACATGGAGTCAATGCTGGGTATTGTAACCAAAACACGACTATAAGTATGCGTTAACAATAAGTACGAATGTACAGTAAAACTTTGTTACTGACTAAGAAAATTAAACTATTTTTATTTTAGTACATACAAATATTTTTAAAGTTTCGAGTTTCGTGCTTTTTTTTAAGAAAACCGCACTCATTTCAAACATGCTATTGTCATTTATGGGTTTTCTCGGAATGCAAAACTCACAGAGTAAAATCCACCTCTGGCTTCACTTAACTCTCTATTACTGCAACACGACAATGCTACAAATAACAAGACCACCTTTCTGTACCTAGCCTATCCATGTATCATGCTAATAGAGACAAGTTATACGACTGAGTAGGTAAATTAGCAGCTACAAAGACCACAGCATTAGCAACTGTCGTGTTTGTGTCGGTGTGAGTAATGTATCATTACTCTCTAGTTGGGAAATTTACAATGGAAAAAGAACACGGTTTGA